ACAAGACACTATCTGACCAAATCCAAAGCAAACTGTTATAGAACTTAAAGCATATAATTAATAAGCAAGCATACAATCATAATTTGTATAATTATAACAATTCTTACATATAGAAATTAACATTGTTTCTGCTCTTATAAGGATTTATTCATAGACGGAAATTAATTCTGCTTAATTAAGACAAAAATAGATCTCTTACAAGTCTCCAATCTTATACGAGTTTTGCTATGTAAATTTCCTATATGTATAGTCTCATACAACAAAAGCTTGGGGTTGCTAAAAAGGGTAACCGAAAAATCAATGCTGCAACTACACGATGCCTAACTTGCTGGATCAGGTTCTGGATCCTAACAGGTGGGGTGTTTTAATTCTTTGTAGCCATTTTTAATTTGGCATTGCACAAAAAGATAAGAAATTTTGAATATAAATTAACACCTTCTACCGTTAAAAGTATGAAATAAGGCTAACAAAAATCAACACACGTTTCCAACAGCTTGTATTACACATAATATTCATTTGGTGCTGGCCTATTGACCTAGAAGTGAGTTTAACGTTCGCTTTAAAATATGGCACAAATTAATGGTGTTATACAGTTGGGACGATAAATATACTACAATGTTCACCAACTTTTGGTTCTTTATCTCTTTGAGCCCCTGATCAGCCATTCTGCACTTCGTATATGAGCCTATAAAAGGTGGAAGATTGTTTAAAATCTGACAAAAATAGATCACTCAGATTGGAAAAAGAATGAAATCTTCAAATTTAACAAAATCGATGAGTCTTAATCATATACTTGCGATGAAAATATCCACGTTTTCCTCACAACGTAAAATTCCAAAATCTGAGTTGCGAAATTGGCCTCCACGCGCTGGATTGGAAAATCAAGAGAAGACCGCGCTAGTTCCTAGACTCCTCCAGCTCGTCTGGACCTGTCGCGTCGTGTTTCGTAAACTCTCTAATGATACCAATCATGACTCCCCTTGGGTTTATTTTGCCTACAGTATTCGGTTTCCAATCTTTCAAGTACTTCCCAAATGCAAAATTTCTCCGCTCCAATTCATTTCCTCATGCCTTAACCCCATCTCTGCATTTCACTTGTCTTCTCGCTCTGAGTAATTTGTTTAAAAGTGTTGTTGTATCGTTAAGTGCCGCTGACACATGTGTAAATACTATTTATGGCAGCATTCTCATCTCAGCCTACTCCGGCCCTGGCATGAAATGCTGCCCTCCCCAAGCCACGACAGTGGAAAACCCCATGGGAGCACATTCGCTCCCGCTTCTTCCAAAGCCCTGAAAACGATGTCTTATGAAAAATTTATAATAGGGTCCTGAAAACAGCAAGTCACTTAAAAAGTTGAGGTCTGAATATCTCCGAAAATTGCGAACAATGTCACAAAATGGAGACATTAATCATGTTTTCATATGTTTTCATAGACTGCCCAATTGCAGTTTCAGTCTTGGCATCCCTGCAGCCCATTTTCGAACAGCTGCTCGGCACATTTTTTGTTCTCCCCTCCTCATAATTTTTTTTTTCGAGTTTCCTCAGGGCATCAAGGCGGAATGGCAAAACTCTCTGTCAGTGCTTACTAAAAATCACTCTGTATTCCATATGGATGCACAGATGTGATTGCCGCTTTGAAAAGAAGGCCCCCAACCCTCTAGGTGTTGTTTCTTCTATTAAAGCCTCTGTTAGAAAGAGAATAAAGTTCATTATGTCCTCTCTTGCCTTATTTACAAAGGAATCCCCGATCTGAGCTCATAACAATGTCCTCTCCAGCTACCAAAACGGTCTGCTGTCCCTCAAAATCTAGCCGTTACCCTTTCTTCTCTCTGTCTGTAATATATAAATTATCTTTGATGACCAACAAACCCACCAACAAGACGACCAACAAACCGAGGATCAAAACAAAACATTCGGATTCAAATCTAGAAAATGTCCACCACAAAACGAAGACCTAGACGCATTTGAGTCTGATTTACTCAACATGATCAAGCACATCCAATGCAGGAAAACACACGACCAATTTCAAGACCAGCTTACCGAAGACATCAAAAATATCAACGCCTCCACGAAAGCCTTCATCCCAGCTGACAAAACAACCAACTACTACAAACTGGATAGTGAACTACATGACAAACTACTAACTAACAGCATAACCACAACCTACAAGAAAGCAAACGACAGCGCCATCCACACAATAAACAACAAAGCATGGAACATTGCCACTGAACTCAACATTCAAGACCAAACAGAACGTATGGCAGAACGACAAGCATTCATAACTCTGAAAGACCATAAAGAAAACTTCCAAAACAACCCCACCTGCAGACTAATCAACCCGGCAAAAAGTGAAATAGGCCGTATCAGCAAACAGATCCTTGACAGAATCAACACGACCATCAGAAACCAAACTACCCCAAACCAATGGAAAAACACTTCGTCTGTAATCAACTGGTTCAACAACTACCAAACAATCATCAACATAAATTTGTTATCTTCGACATTGAAAACTTCTACCCCTCAATAACCGAAAAACTCCTTACAGACTCTATCCCCTTCGCCAAGAAATACTGCAAAATGACCGAAAAGGATACCACCATCATTATGAATGCCTGCAAATCTCTCCTATTCAGCAAAGGAAATACATGGAAGAAAAAAGACAGCCATATGTTCCATGTTACTGTGGGGAGCTTTCACGGTGTGGAAATTTGTGAACTGGTAGCTCTTTTCATCCTCAGCAAGCTGGGCGCAAAATACGGAAGAGACGACGGACTCGCTGTCTTTAAGAACACTCCTGGTCCACAGGAAGAGAGAATCAGGAAGGACATTACAAAACTTTTCAAGACTCACGGCCTCAACATCACCATACAGACCAACCTTAAAATTGTGAACTACCTCAACATAACACTAAACCTAACAAATCAATCGTACTGTCCATACAGAGAGTCCAACAACCAGCCACTATACATCAATATAAAGTCGAACCATCCCCCCAACATCATAAAACACTTACCTGGAACAATCAACCGTAGAATAACTGACATATCATGCAACGAAAGTGAATTCAACAAAGCAAAGCCCATCTATGAAAACGCCCTAAAAGCCTGTGGATACCAAGACACCCTAAAATACAACAACCACACATCATGCACACGAAAAAGAAGAAACAGACAGCGCAACATAATCTGGTACAACCCACCATACAGCAAGAATGTACAAACTAACATTGGCAGAACTTTCCTCAAGCTCATACACATACACTTCCCCAAGATTCACAAATTCCATCAGATCTTCAACAAGAACAACGTGAAAGTAAGCTACAGCTATATGTATAATATGCAAACCATCATCAACAAACACAACAAGAAAATCATCAACACCAATTCCACCACTACCAACGAGAAAACATGCAACTGCTGAAAAAAAGACCAATGCCCACTAGACAACAACTGCCTCTCTTCCAGCATCATCTACAACGCACATATCACTACAACCGAAGACACTGTCAGCAAAAACTACATTGGCCTAACAGAAGCAACCTTCAAACAACGATTCACAAAACACCAACTCTCTTTCTGCAACCAAAAATACGCCAACAGCACCGAACTATCAAAATACATCTGGGAACTTAAAGACAAAAACAAGGATTATGACAAACAATGGGCTATCATCATCTCAGCCAAACCATACAACAACATTACAAAAAGGTGTGACCTATGCCTAACAGAGAAACTATACATCATCAAAGCAAATAAAAACATTCTTCTAAACAAACGATCAGAATTAATCTCCAAATGCCGACACGAAGACAAGTTTTATCTCATAAAGAATAGAACTCCACCTAACAAATTAACCTGTGTCTAATAAAATTTCTTTTGTCTAACTTTATCACACCTTTTGTATATTTATACCGCGGTAGCAGGAATATTCTTCATTATAGTCTGTCTGATGAGTGCGCAAGCACAAAACTAGGAGTAACGGAGAACATGTTTCATTTCTAGTCTATATTTTATTTTATTATAAATTCTCTTTGACATATCTACCACTTCACTTTAGAATCAAGAAGAAAAACATGAATTTTTCTCATGTAGCCTTTGTAACTTCCTTAAACGACTGGCGTTATATTGTTGGTAGCTTGTAATGTTTGAATGGTCAGTTAATCATATCATTGTCAATAATCTAGTATTTTAATTAAGTGTCTGTAAATTGTATTGTAACCCCAAATTCTTTTCGTACCATTGTGAAAGTAATCAGTATATTGTCAAGTAAAATGTCGGAGCCAAGGGGGACCTCTGCACCAAAGGGGCAGTTGTCTCCATTTAAATTGTTACGTTGATATTAAATTATCATGATTGTTATACCTGACCCTACTGTGTCATCAGAGGGCAGGAAATAAAAAAAAGCATCTGTTACGCTCAAATATTGAACTGATTGCTGGAATTTGCTTGTTGGCATGAGGCTTGCCTACAGCCATGTGTGGCCCAGCCCTTTTTCATCAATTGGCAAGAAAACAACGATTTTCACATTTTCACAGTTGCATTCATTCATGTCCATATCATTGATATGACTGGCTAACTACAAGGTTAACTAGGAGCTAACATTGTATGTATTTGGTTACTTCGCATTAAAGTAGTTTAAACCTTGTACTAGACATTCATTTAAACCTTGTTTTATTCATGATTGTAAATCAAGTATACATAGACTGTGAGGCCTACAACGTGTTGTGTTCTTTGTTCTTGTGTTCTTGCTTTTTCGCCTGCCTGTTTAGTAGAGAGTCACTGACTCACGACTTATCAAGCAAGATTAGTTTCTTCTTCATGAAAGGGGTGGTGAGTACAGCAGTTTTATATTTCTCTACTTGATCATGTTCCTTGTTAGACTGAACATTCACTCAATAATCAACAAATCGAATTATTCAGAGATCTACTGATATGGCCTTCCCACATGTGTCAGCTTGTTTTTGCAACTGCCAAGTCGTCAATGGCAACACTGGCAGTTCAAACTTACCTGACGGGGAAGACAACGTGATCATGAAGGCGTTTCTTCCAGGGTGAGGCCCATTCATTGCAGTCAAGTTGGGGTGACCCTGTGATTACCCCAGAAATGGGTAATTCAACCGTACAATTTCTGGTAGTGGGGTCCTGTGTTCGCGCTTGTCCCCTCACAATCATCTAAAGAATCCAGCCAACCTGAGCAGAATCTCACAAGCAGTTCCACAGAAAAAGCCACCCGTTGTGCCTTCTTGATCACTCACAATATCACAAAAGAGGTAGATTGTCATACAAATGCTTGTTATTGATTGCTTTGCCTTTGTCTGCCTTAACCTGGCTCGTTGTCTGCCTTATTAATGTTGCCTTAAATATAATGATTTCAGACACAGTAGTCATCGTTTCTGAAATGTTTCGGCTTCAGTATGCCTATTTTGTAGAATTTGATACAAAAGGCCAAACTAATACAAGTTCAATATAGAAAAAAAATTTCCTCTCCAAACTGTTTTACGTGCTGCTAATAATATACATACTTTGCAACTTTCAGAGCAGCATTTTCCCAACTGGGTGCCCACCTTCCTATATTAACTTCAATGAATAAGTTTTTATGGGCTGGCCATATTTTACTCTGCACTACATAATGTAGTTTCCTTCCTTTACTAACTTGCTTATCAAACCCTAACCCAGGGTGAACCTCTATCTATCGGTCAATAAAAAATCACAGAGATGGTTGATGCAAATCTCAAAAAAACCTATCTTCAATTCAAATTCGAATTCATTTAATGCTTAATTCAAGAAGCAATTATCAGAGTTTCATACTGTCAGTTAGCATTTGAGAATTAGAAACTTTGCAAAATCAATTCACAAGGTGAACGTAGAAATAATTCAGGCAAAAATGGAGGGCAGGGATTAGTGTATTATTAAAAGAAGATTGTAGGGCCTATGAAAATCTGTATGGCCTACTAATTCACAATTCCAAATCAAATACTTTTCTAAATTCATTCTAACAGCCATTTGCTGAGATGATTGAAAAACAGAGTTTTGATTTTTATTTCCCTTACATGGTTTCATGGTTTGTTCTAATTGTTGGAGTAATAATTGTTTATCCTAATTCTTCTAATAATTGTTGATATCCATGTCAAGAACTCAAACTTACAGCCAAGCTGACCATTACTGGGGATGAGCTGCCTGCACTTGAAGTGTTCTTGCCCCCACCAAAAATACCCATTCTGACGATTATTCTACTTAATGTCGGAAAAAATCTTGAATGTTTTTGCAATTTTTTGCAACATAAAATTCAAAATATTCATTTTCCTGACGTAAGCTTCAATAAGCTGGGCTTTCAGGGATTGTTCAATTCCCAATAATTACATGACAGGCCAATTGTGAAAGTGCCTTCAATGGATACCAAAGTGACTTGTAAGAAAGTACAATCAGAAAAGCATTTTGATTCAAGGAGTTCAAAAAACCATCACTGATCTCATATCGTTCGACCAACTATGGTGAACCTCTCCTTCAATTATATAAACTCTTTGGGTTTGCCACTCGAGTAATGAACAAGTGTCTATATGCAAGGTTTCGGCTTTCTTAGAATCATATCATCAGTCAGTGACAGAATGCAGTCATAGAACATCTTCCATCCTCGCATCTTCTGTGACTCAAGGGAAGCTGAAAGTTAAGTTTAATTTTCTTCCCAATGATAGTCCAGTGGTCTTTTTGCCTCTTGGGTCACGGGAAGGCTCGTTCATGAATAGATAGTAAGAGTAAGCACAACAACACGGAGCAACAGCGCGCGCTGTAGAACTTAAGCCATACTTTTTCGAAGAAAGCGCCTTTCCCTGCTGTCGCAGGTCACAACTGCTGCTGCATGCTGCTGAGTGGCCATGTGAAGCCGAATAACTCATTCAATAACTCACTCACCTCGACGACGTTCTTCAACATCCACAGATTGATTACTTTGCTGCTGGAGTGAGGGAGCAGGCAGGCAGGCAACAGCCAAAAAAACTGAGCGCTCCGCAAGCAACGAGGCAGACTCGTGGAGAGTCTGAACTGAAGACATGAGACTGGGTATCGCTTCTCGGCCTTTTGGCTAAGATCCATCCCACAAGTGGTGCAGCGAACTTTGCGAGAGGAGTTGGAGAAAGACCAGAGGAGATCAGCAAGTGAAGGGTAAGTTTTCGGCGTTGCTTGTGGGACAATCTCTCTGTTAGGACCTGCCGGTACGACGACCCACGCCCACTGCCGCAGGTACCCTAGCAGGGAAAGTGCTTCGGCTATTGGCCTCGGCCATTAGCTGAAGTATGGCCGAGAAGCTTGCTCCCGGGGGCTCTACGCCCCACGGGTGTGAAGATCTAGTTTTAGAGGAGGAGGACGTGGTAAGCTCTGAGGACGAGACCGACATAGGGCTGGAGAGAGAAAGGCTGGTATGACACTAGCAAAAGTTGAGAAAGAATGGCCTCCCAGTAGTGCCACAGGGTAATCGCCACCCATACCAAAGACCCTCAAGCGCCACAGACGTCTTGAGCCGCCGGTTGCCAGCTCTCCCATCTGTTGCAGATGATGCTAGCCAAAAACGGAACTATGCTGCTGCAGTTGGAAGAGCAGCGGCCCATGTTGAGGAAGTTATTGTTGGCAGGTCTGGTGGCCTGCGCATGAACAACATCGGACGGCCGAGACCAAGAACTGTCTGCGTTCACTCGGGGAAGGGGGCTATTGACTGCAAGGCCCTCATTGCCAAGTTGGAGACGTACCTCCTGGAGCCCACTCACGTCCAGAGGCTCCCAAATGGGGACCTGGAAGTCACCTTCCCCACAGTAGCGGACAAAGACAGGTTCCTTGGCCTTTGTTTTGTGCGTGGGTGAGAGTGTTTAACAAGCCAGGAGAGATAAGGCCGGAAGTGGTAGAGAGGAGGCTCAGTCGGTTCGGCCGGGTTCTGTTTGCTAGGGAGAATACCCACCCTGGTACAAATAAGTTGAACGGGGTCATGACTCTTAAAATGATCATGACCGAGCCTATTCCAAGTTATGTGCACCTGGGTCCTACCTGTTTGCTTGTGCGACACGAAGGGCAACCAATGACGTGTCGTAAATGTGACAGCAGGACCCACCTTGCCGCAAACTGCTCTGCTAAAAGGTGCTATAACTGTGGGTGTGTCGGCCATATTAATGCTGACTGCCCCGAAAGCAGTGTCTGTCAGGGTTGTGGGTCGTCTGAGCACCATCTTGCTCAGTGCGATACCTCATTCTTCCCGGACCCAAGCGGAACCGACGATGCAGAGTCCATTCCCGAGACGCCAACGGAGACAACAATGGCCTTCGACATATTTGGCAGCGAAGCTGGAAGCTCAGCCACAGAGGATGAGGCAACTGCAGTTTCAGAGGACACCACACCTGATCCTGCTAGTGCCTCGGAACCCCTGGTGACAGAAGGACTGCAGAATGACATGAAGCAAACGAGCCTTGAAGAGCCACCAAGTGAACCCGAAGAGCCAACCAGTAAACCCGAAGAGCCACCCAGCCTCAGTACACCTGAAGAACTGTCCAGCATCCTCGAAGACGCCCAGCCAACCAAGAACTGTTAAGTGCTCCAATGTAATTGACTGGCTTAAAACTAGGAAAGAGTCCATCATATTTTTGCAAGAAACTTATTTCTCTGAGCCCGCCGACATTACCTTTCTCAAATCCATCTGGAAAGGATCACTTTTTTCATCATTCGGAGGAAAACATAGCAGAGGTGTTGAAGATTTGACAGACAGCGAAATGAAGTTGAAAAACGTTCTGCGATGGAATATGAAGGTTTTAAAAGGAGCATGGCCGTTATGATGGATCAAGATAGTGGAGTTTCTACTTTTGTTTCCGACAGGCATTCTACAATAATCAAGCACATGAAAGACCATCTTTCCTCTGTGACACACTACTTTGACCTTTGGCATTTGAAGAAAAGTGAGTATCTTTTTAAATTCAAAATTTAGGCTGCCTTACTAAACAGTAGAATCACTGAGTATTACCAAAGATGCATCTGAGCAAGCCAGCCTCACCAGAGCTACACAAGCTTCAAATGGCCAGCTCAGACATGATTTGGGTGGCTCTCATTGGCTCTTGATGATCCTGCTCTTTAGCAATATCAAGCTTGTAACCTTTCTAGGTTGATCCAATCAAAAGCATTGTAAAGGGACATCAAACTCTTTCTACTAAAAGAGTTTTTTGATGGTAACACTTATTCCCTTGTGATAGTGCTTTTTGATTCTTCTTCAACATGTGTATCCTTTATTAACTTCCAGAGCTTATAAAAGTACTATCTAAGATATCAAAATTGAAAGGCTTTGTTATCATCACTGATTGGATTCAGCCATGTGTAAACCACCTCCATTGGAGTGTGACAACAACGTTCAGTGGTGATGGCAATCTTATCCTTGCAAAGTTTAAATCTTTTCTTGGCCACATTGTCAACAAGCACAAAGATCTCAGTGACCCACTATTTAATCAATGTGCACATAATGAAGATATTGCACCACGCACATGGCTGAAGGAAGGTGGGTTTAATTTATTTTCATTAGGATTTTTCACAGGAAATATTTCTGTTATGCATTAAGAATGTACCAGCACATAACAGGAGAATTTTCAAAATTTGCAACATGAGGCCCTATAATTTAAATGTCTATTTAATGTATTTATTTCAACTATTGTATCTTCTGTTGCATGTATAATGTCTCAATCTCCTCAGTATGTTTTTTTACACTTCTATTCTTCAATTTGCAATTTTTTGATGGTGAGGTTGTTGATGAAGATGGTGACGATCCTTTTATTCAAAAGTTTTATTCAACATGAAGCAAATTTTTTAATTTTGATTGCATATTCCAATGGGTTTGGGAAAGTTTTGAATTTTTTTAAACAGAATCGGATGAATATGAAAAGTTGGCTGCTGCTCTCAGCAAAACAAGGTTGCAGAATGGTATTCGGCAGGCATCATTTATTTTCTTTTGCAATTCAAGTATCTAGGTCGAGATGGCCCTTAACTGCTTACAGTACTACAGCGAATTACAATTTTACAATTACATTTTTAACTACGCATTAATAACAAAACAACTACGGCGAATACAAAGCTAAATTTACAGCAAAAGCTACTAAGCTACAGAATTATTAGCTGTTAATCTAAAATGCTTGTGGGATCGCTTAAAAATTTTGATCTTTTTCAAAGGACTTTTTGCAGAAATTTCCTAAAACCTTTGCTGTAATATAATCTTCTTGGCTCATTAACCAAAGGTACATATTGAATTTGTTCAACACGGAAGTATTTGGAAATGTTTTGTGGATTTTTTGTAAAAAAATTTGCCGTTCCTCATTAAAAAGGGGGCAAGTTAAGAGGAAATGTACTTCATCCTCAACTTTGAAAATATCTTAAGTCTTACAGTACGGACAACACCTTTCATCTCTTGGAGTTTTGTTTTTACTAAATCGCCCTGTTTCAATTTGAAGATTGTGAGCGCTGATCCTCAGTTTTGCTAATATGCATCTAACAGTGAAATCTTGTATGTAATCAAGATAAGACTCAAATTTGTAAATTGTTTTAAATGAGGCGTATAAATTTAGTTTTTTTGTTCTCAGTTATGTGTTCATTCAATCTTCCCAGTACTTCTGACTCGAAATAACTTATAACCTTAGTTTTAATAACTGAACGATTATCCGATTCCTGTATTCCATAGCGTACCCTAAGGTCGCAGGCATGAGAACATATAGCACAGACAAGTTGCTTGGAAGGTTTCCACTCGGTATTAAACCATTTCTGTCCCAAGATGCTTGGTTTCTCCTATGTTGGAATGTTGTGCAGGTAAGTTTTCCAGTATTAAAACCCAGGACCATCAAGAAAGGGAGAGCTAGGTCATCAGTTATGACCTAGAAAAATAATTTGCGTGTATTAGTCATTTTTTTCTGGTATGTTGCAATGCCTATGGACTAAAGGCATAAGTAAACTTAGCTCTTACATATAACATACAAAGCTCTATCAAACAATATAATACTGCATGCTGTCAACAGTGCATAGAAGTGCTTTTTGCATCCAAAATTCAGATTTGTGTAAGTCACACTTTATTCTGTTGCTCAACAGACATCCTTTAGCTGCACTTCATTTCAACTACAACTTAAGAAGAGAAGTCAAAGTATTGGATGATGGCTCTTCGCAAGTAACCATCCACTACCCAAAGTTTAAAAATGGCCAAGTAACCATAAAGGATGTGAGGGTTGGCCAAAACTTTGGTAAGAACTGTTCATCTCATTTTTGTTGCAATAGTATTTTTAAAGTGGTGTAACTTTAGGACTTTAAAGGTTGTTTTCCACTAGGCAGAAAACTGGGAGCGGTCCGCTCGCACGCTCATCGGACATGCGCATTGGTAAGCTTAGTCCAAATCAGTACGGAAGAGATTTCGAGCACAGCTGAAAGATAGAATGCATGTCTTACTTTATTCGGGTGGACCGAGGAATTGTTCTTACTAATGGATGATGAAAGGCTTGGGTTAGCCTAGATCTGCAGTGCATCGGATGCAATGGTCATCTTCACAGCGCACATGACTTGCTGAACAAGGAACCTCTGTGCTGATGGTGAGTTGCGTAGGACAGTTATCGGGAATTTATGGAAGTTGGAAATTTTCAATGATGAAGAACTAAGAACTTCCCATGCTTGGTGGAGTACTACCTTGCCTGAGAAGGGGGGCTATCGGACGAAAGAGCACACGAATACAATTTCTGAATCGGTCTAATACGGAGGAAGATTTGAGTAGAAAATGGTAAGGATGGAGTTGCTTGTGTTTCAGGTGGAGTCAGCCTGTCACCAGATGATTTTCCTCCAAGGAGCGAATCTGCGATTTCCTCCAGGAGCATCCCAGGAAACACGCTATACTATATTGGGGTTTTGCCTAATTACTGTCGCAATGTTGTGTTATGGAGAATCCGAGGATGCAAAAATTGTTGGTTAGTGTCTGTGGAGAGAGTGTTGCTGTAGAAGCTACTAGGAAAGGGTTAAGTTTTTGAAAAAAAATAAGGACCTTGAGTTATAACTGGCGATTGTTGTGTCTGCTAGTGTGATTGTTCGGTGCGAAGGATCGGCAGGTTAGGAAGTATCTAAAAGATAATCTTGGAAACGATGTCTTGGACAAAATGAAAAACAACGAAAAAAGATCTGGGAGCCTTCGAGACGACGGAGAAGCTTGGGCCAAATGTAGAATATGTTTGATCAGCGTTTCGATTCATGCATGACAAGGTTGTCAGGTTCGTCAGACAGAGAGCAGATTTTCTACTTGAACCAACGCGGAACCAACTCTGTTCAGAATTAACAGACAGAGATGTTTGTCCAAGCACAGAATTTATTATTCCAAAGGAAGAGCCTGTAAAAAGGGAAAAATTTAGAAATACCAAATGGGGAAGCGGAAAAAGGCAAGACAAGATTTGGATATGGCAGTTGATGCCATGTTATTATCAACTATCAAGGATATGTCACAAAATGAGAAAAAAAAAATACTGAGACATCCATTAATGAAGATGCTGATTCCCTCTTCTGGCAGGAGCTGTTGTTGCGCCCCTGGAGAGATCCCTCCAAGAAGAACAGTTAAGCCAAAATGAAAATCCAGCAATGCCTACATATATTTGAGTTTTCAGACTAAAGCCTTTGAAAACACCAACTATTAGATTCTGATCTACAAACTGATGTTATTCTTTTGACTAATTTTTACTTACCATAAATCTCTCTCTTTAAATCCCCTCTCAGTTAAGCCCCTCCTCTTCCTATTAGCCCCCCTTTTAGAAGCAAACAAAATTCTAGAAAGCCCTCATCTCTATATAAGCCCCATCCCCCAAAAAGCCATTGCAATAGTGTCATAAAATAAGCTTGAAGAATAAAGTTGTAAGTAAGACTGCTGATCACACTCACATAGACAACAGTTTTCAATAAAGTGCACTACTGAAGATTTTTATATTAAAACTACGTATATGTACTCTCCCATCTTTAGGCATTCCTCTCTTTATGGGCCCTCTTGCAGTGCTCTAACTTAATCAATAAGGCCCCTGGGGGGCTTAGTAGAGAATTTATGGTGATTTGCCTATAATAATACTGTTTCTGTTCACATTTTGTGCCAAAATATATGACCAGAGATGTTGTCTCAAGGTCAGAATAGAAGACAACTAAGGCCTTTGCTTCACAACTATATTCTTGCAAGCACGCCCCCCCCCCCACCTTAAAGAAGGAGAAAATATTTTGAACCCCCTAATTTGCGTACAGTGACTATGCATCAGATCACTATCTATAGAATTTTTATAAGTATGACCAAATATATAGATACAATTATTATTCCAGATGCTTTGTCTATTCTGACGTGACAGTGCTCGATGTGCAAAAGCACAGAGCAATAGATATAGATAAAAATAGAATATATACTAGAAATGAGACATGTTCTCTGTTACTCCAAGTTTCGTGCTTACGCACTCATCAGACCAGATTTATAGATCACATATATATATATAGATATATGATATTAGTATAGAGAAATACGCCCCATTGCGCTTGCATGCTTGTGGCACCCAAAAGGGTTTACTC